GAGTGGCCCAGGGAACACAGATGGCCTTTCCAAAGAGCAGCTGGAACACAGGGAGCGCTCTTTGCAGACGCTCAGAGACATAGAAAGGCTGCTTTTGCGCAGTGGGGCAGGTGGAGGTCCTGGAGACCCAGGAGGCTCCAACAACAGCGTTCCTAATAACTCGTCCAACATAAATAATAGCAACAATACTGACAGGAGTGGTATTCTTGAGGAAGGTGATAATGGTACTAATAACTCTGGAAACTGCAGTAGTGGCAATTTGTTATCGTCTGCCTTGGCTCCAATGGGAGGGATGAAGAAATATGAAGAACCCCTCCAGTCCATAATTTCTCAAACACAATCGCTTGGTGGACCTGCCCTTGAAAGCCCTCAAATGGAGTCTCACCATAACCTACCACCACACCCACATCACCAGCTGTCTTCGCCTGGGGACGACATGGGTCCCTTACTTGGACCAGAAGGGCTGACCCCAGAGCAGATGGCCTGGAGGAAACTTCAAGAAGAATACTACCAGGAGAAGAGACGGCAGCAGGAAATGCAGCCACCTACGCATCCCCAGCACTTTAGAATGATGTCTGAGATGGGCATGCACGGAGGCCCTGTGATGATGAGAGGACCCCCTCCTCCCTACCACAGCAAGCCTGGAGACCAGCAGTGGGGTCCTTCCAATATGATGGGTGGAGGAATGGGTGGAAATCCACGAATGATAGACATGCACCAAGAGGGACCCAGGGGCCCAAGATTCCTCGGGCCGATGCAGAGAGGGCAGCCTGGGGGAGGAGGTTTTCCTGGTAGTCCAGGGGGGGTTTTATCAATGGAAGGCCTAGGACCCCAAAGGCCCACCCGCCCGGGGATGATTTGGTTAGATGATATGCCCAACAACATTAGTGGTGGAGGTCCCTTTCATGGCTGCTATCCTGGTGGACCTCCTCAACACTTGCAAGGTGACCCAGAGCATCTGTTAACACGTGAGGAAATGTTTCGCATCATGGAGAAACGGCACATGCAGGGTGTTTCCAGGTTTGAACTTGACAGATTAGCTAAACAGCAGCAACAGGGCAACCTCGGCTCAAGAATTATGGATAATCTTGGGAGCCCAGACTTTCCCAATTTGGGAATGGGCCGGGGTCCGCCCAACGTTCGAGGTGATCCTATGGACTTTCCTGCTTCACGGGAGATTATGGGCTCTCCTGGAGGAGGTCCTCAAATGAGAGACTTGGTGGATTCTCCTCTGGGGGGAAATCTCCCCATGAACATGAACCCACAGATGAATGTTCAGCAACAGCAGATGATGTTATCACAGAAGCTCCGAGGAGGTCATGCAGGAGGGGGACCTTTAGGTGAGATGTTTAGCACTGGAGAGATTTCACGAATCAGGGCTTCACAGAATGGAAGAGGAGGAAATAAGGGAATGATCCCAGGACCTGATGGCCATTTCCAGTTTCCTAGTCAAGGTCCTTTCTCTGGAGGGCAGGTGGAAGGACCCTATCTTCAACAACCTGGTCCTGAGATGTTTGGGCCTGACCAGCCTAATCAAATGGGAGGTACATCGCGGCTTAGTCATATGCCAATGACTGGAGGCCTCAGGGGAGCAGACCTCGGTCCAAGGCACCCCTCTGACCTGTCAGTCAATGTGAACCCTTTGACCTCTCCTTCAGTGCCTCCTCCTCATCAACTCAAGTCTCCATCCCTCAACCAAGAGCCATCTCCTCTTCTGCCTTCCCCTTCGGCTCCAGGACTGAAGTCCCCATCACAGATGTCCTCTGCTGGGCATCACCCTCCTCTTCCCCCTGCATCTGGTGCTGGGACTCCTTCCTCTTCTTCCATGAAGTCTCCCCAGGTAATGGGGTCTTCCAGCCTTGGATTGCACTCTCCGTCTGCATCTCCTGGTCGACTCAAGTCCCCAGCCATGGCTGTGGGCTCTCCAGGGTGGACGTCTCCGAAAACAGCTCTTCCAAGTCCAGGTGGTCCAACCAGTGGAAAGGTCGTGGGCAACGGAGGAAGTAGTTCCACTGAGACAGGTACAGTCCAGTACTGGCATCTCTGATCATCATTACTGCTGTTCCTTTTGTTGCTGTGACATTAATCATTTTTTTAATGTTCTTTGCAGGCCAATCACTTCCTCCCAGGAGTTCCAACTCTACTCCCATTAGCCAGCCAGGCTCAATGAATCCTAGTATGCCATTTACTTCCTCTCCCGATGCCCCCCCATCTCAGAATCCTTTATCTCTTATCATGTCTCAGATGTCCAAGTACGCCATGCCCAGCTCTACTCCTCTCTATCATGATGCAATCAAAACAATCGCCACTTCTGACGATGAGATGCTCCCGGATCGACCTCTTTTGTCTGGTGTCAGCATTGGAGGTATGAAAAGAGGAACACATTGTGACGTAAATAGAAAAAAACTTGAATTTATACAAAGAGGAAGCAGTTGAAAGGCACTGGTTTAGGTGTGTCATTTGTAGATATTGCTATGCTGTTAGAGATGGGCTGAAATTAGTTGTATTCATTTGGGCTGCATAATATTGTAAAAACTGACAGTATGGAAAAACAGGAATTTTCACCAGATGACTTGAATAACTCTATCTAGCCAACGGAACATTTTAAACATCAGCATCACAGTCAATCATGTTAATTTAAATGTGTGAAGTCAAAATCAGGATTGTGATTCATTTTGCGTTATTTGTGCATCTCTACTTGTGAGTTGTTTATTAACATGCGATGTTTTCTTTCCAGTGTTTCTTTCCTGTTAGGCGCTCATTTTACTGTGCAAATGCAGAGCCTGGATGTCAACAAACTCTGTGTCTTTTAAATAAACTTTTAAAAATAACTCCATATAATGAAGAAGCCTAAGCTGAAGTAAATTATCTTGCATCAGACAGACGTTTAGTGCAGCCTATTCATGGAAAATGAGAACTGTGTGAGTTTTCTTTTTATATCATGCAACAAATGGGTTAAGCAGTCTTTCCTGACATCACACTTCCTGCTGTGTGACTAATGCTCACATCGCAATAGTTGAGAATTAAACAATGTATCGTGCAGGTCTAATTTTTATCCTCTCGATAAAAACTTTCTGTCTGCGTGTTTTTAAGACATCTAATTATTATTTCACATGTGTAGTAGATTGAGAGAAAGCTGTTCATTTTTAATTAGTATGATTTTTTACATGTTTACATTGTCTTGTCACCAGGAAACATGGGGAATCCCCAGGCATCCCAGATCCTTGTCTCCCAGGGATCCATCGGTCCCCACAGCGATCCACAAAGCCCGATGGGTATTGTAAGCCAAGGTCAGCAGCACCTGTCCCATGACGCCTCAGGACCTGTGCTTTCTTCCCCAAACCAAATGGCCATGACTGCCATGAATTCTGCCATGATGGGAGGAGGAGCACCTGACGGAATGGGACCCTGCAACGTTTCACCGATATCTCAGAACCAGATGGCAGGTTTTCCTCGCATGCAGCCGCCGTCACACGGGCCCATGCACTCGCCTATTGGAGGAATGTCACAGAATTTCTCTCAGTCCAATGAGGATATTCTGCCGCATCAGCAGCTACACCTGCTCAGCAAAGGTCATCCACACCAACGTCCCTCTCACCCTTCAGACTCCTTTGCCTCTCTTCCCATGGGAGATGGGCCGGATCTGAGCGAAGTCATACGACCCACTCACACAGGGATCCCTGAGTTTGATCTCTCCCGCATCATTCCTTCTGATAAGCCCAGTAGCACTCTTCAGTATTTCCCTAAGAGTGAGCCACATCAGAATCCGCACACGGGGCCACCATCCCAGCAGCCTACGCCGCAGCAGCTGCTCAAACAGCTGTCTTCTTCTGGCCCTCCGCACAGCAGTGGCCCTTCGTCCAACCCCCACTTAGCAAGCCTACAGAACATGATGGCTGAACAGCAGCTGCCGCCTCACCCCTCGCACGGTGGGATACGCCAAAGCATGGGCATTCCTCAGGGGGGCTCCAGGGGTATGGTGTCTGGTGGAGGCATGGGCCCCATGTGCGGCCCTGGACACATGATGGGAAGGACAGGCCTGGTGTCCCAGCAGCAACTCCAACAACAGCAAGCCATGATGGCCAACAGCCTCCTCCACCATCCTTCCAATCCATACCCCGGCATGATGCCCTCTCAGCAGCACCCACACAATCTGATGGCACAGCAGAATATTATGATGATGCAGGCTAAGCAGCGAAGCATGTCGATTCCAGGGGAACCTTTCGGACCCCAGGGCCCTCTAATGTCCCCTCAGGGTCCCATGATGGCCCCTCCCCACCCACAGTCTGGTATGATGGGCCCACAGTCTCTCAGACAGCGGGGAATGTCTCTGGACAGTCCCATTGGCTATGGCCCCGGAGGTATGGCCAATATGCCATTCTGATCCAGCTCAATAAACTGTAAAAAAACAAAAAAAAACAAAAGAAAAGTGTTCACTAGGTTACCTTCCCATTGTGTCCAAATTTTTTTCATTACTGTTATTCTTGTAGTTGTTTGAAAAGAAGAATCATGAAAAAAAAAAATGAAAAAAAAAAAAAAAATCAGTGATAATCTTCAAATTGGGGATTAAAGCTGATTTTAAAAATGAAATATTTAAAAGCACTGTAACACTGTTCAATAACAAATTTGAAGCCATTTTCTAAAACTACTGTAAAATGTGTATATTTCCAAAAAAAAAAAGAAAAAAATGTGTGTATTTGTTGTGGGAACAGAGTGGCGGTCAGGAGAGGAGTGCCTCAAATTTCTATTTGTTTTAATATCATTGATTTATTTTCTCCAACTACCAAACTGTTGTGCAAAGGAATTATATAAATATATATATAATATATACTTGCTGTATATAAGATGCAATTTGTGATTGTTTGCAGTTGTTCTGTATAACTGTGTTTTAATAGGAGTCTAAAAATAGAATAATAACAATCTCTAACACGGCTTTAGTTTCAGTTATTTGTTGTCGATTTTTGTCATTTGATAACACTGACAAGGGGACGCAGTCGCTGTATGATATATGAAATCTTTATTGAATTCAGTTAGCAGTAGCTACAATACAAGCAAAAAGCAGGTTTTGGCCAACAATAACTTTTTTTTTTTTTTCTTGACTGGGTGAATAAAACATTTTAAATGCAGACCAAGTAGCAATGGGTACTATATTATAAGAACACTTGATAAAGTTATAGCATTTTCCATCAGTACAAGTGGAGAACGGCAGAACAGAGTTTCTTAGTTGAAGACGGTGCTGTTGGTCGTCACTCCGTCAGAGACGGACGGTCGGCCGTGACCCTCAGCTCTGATGAAAGGCAGGCAAATACGGCCGCAGCCCAGTTGGCAAAGCAACTGGATCAGCTCATTGCGAAACCGCACCCCAACAAAGGCGTACAAGAAAGGGTTCAGGCAGCAGTGTAAGATACCCAGGCTGCGTGTCAAATCGAGGGCTGGCTGCAGTAAGATCAAAGAGGCACAGTTGTCATACATAAAAACCTCAAAGTCGACCATGGTCTGTATCAGTGAGGCGATGTTATACGGTAGCCAACAGACGCAAAACACAAGAGTGACGAGCAAAGCCAGTCGAATGGCTCCTTTCTTTGACTGGCTTTTCTGACCCTTGCACAGAGTAATTATGAGGGCCGTGTAGCAGTAGCTCATGGCAGCCAGAGGTACGAAAAAGCACACATGATGTAAAAATCGATTGGTCACAAGCCAGTTATTTGCATTTATGCCATAACGATAATAGTAGCAGGAGAGCCGAGATGTGTTTGTGTCTGCTTGTGCCACAGAAAGAAACGCGGCGTTCGGTGCTGATAAACACACACAGAGGAGCCATAGCGAAATGCACGTTAGGTGCACCACTCTGGGACGTCGACTTTGCATGCTAGGGATCGCGTGAACGATGGCCAAATACCGATCAAATCCGATGCAAGCGAGAAGGACGCTCCCACAGAGGATGTTCAGATTCTCTAATACGCCCTTGAGCATGCAGAGAAAGTTCCCGAAAATCCAACCGGTGACGCTATTGACTGCGAGAAAAGGGAGCGTGAGGAGGAGCATGAGGTCAGCCAGGGCCAGGTGCAGCAGGTAGATCTCTGTGATGCGCAGCTGACGCCAACGAGCCAGGAGGACGGTTATCATCAGGCCGTTCCCTGCCACTCCCAGCAGGAAGATCAGGCTGTAGAGCACAGGCAGGAAGACGGTGTAGAAGCCCTGCAGGCTGAGCTCCTCCCTGTCACAGGTGGTGTCATAGTCATCGTGGAGACCAGTCCCGTTCTCAGCATAGTCGGTATAGTTGGGATAGTCGACATCGTCGGTAGGATCCCACTTTAAGATACACAGAGAAAATGTTGGTTTTACATCAGAATCATTGTGTGCTATTAAATAGTACTCTACTGTAGCCATGATTGACACTGGCTTCATTTTAATAAGTCTCTTTCCATAATGAAGTTCAATCTGAATAATTGCATAAGTTCATGTTCCTTGCAGGTTTCTCATGCAAAATATTAGGCAGGAAACACTGAATAGGCCAGATTGTTTTCGCTTCCTCTTTACAGTAACTAGGAGGTATTTCTGGGGCAAATAAGGCAAAACATCCTACTTTGGCTAATAATAAATTAAGACTAGAAGGATTTTCCCAAATCAGCAACAAAGTTAGTAAACCCAGCAAAGAAATCACAGCCGCGATCATCTGGATTGTCATTTTAAATGTGGACGAGCTCGGACAAAAGTAACTAAAATTTCCATTTCAGTAACTTATAAAAACACATCGACTATGTTCATTTACATAAAATGTGATATTGTAGAGATATATTAGTAATTTTATAACACTCACAGCATTCTTTAATTCTGTTTCAATGTTATTAGTAGAATGTTACTTGAGTACGTCACTTCTAGAAAAACAATGTCATCATGACAACCCTCCTAATGAAAAAGGAGTTTTAAACCAATTTGCTGTTTTATATCACGATGGTAAGCAGAATTTCATAACAGAACTTCCTCTACAATAATTAAATGTACACATCTAATTCCTAAAACAAGCAATGCTGAGCATCAGACTGATGAAATTATTTGGATTTTGAATTAAAAATCATCCAATACAATTGCATTGCCCAGTAAAAATTTAGTTTTTCTTCTGTCTTCATCAGTGGTGATGATAAATGTCTGTCACATAGGAGGTACTGAAGTGTCCCTGGTGAGTTCACAGGAAAAAAGCAGCAGACACCCTATGCAACGAACCCACATCTGCATTTTCACGGTTCGATAATTCAAGAAACTGTAGGAAATTTCCCTTCTCAACTTCGTAAGAATTTATTTTTAAAAATGAATCATAGGAGACATGTTGCTTAATACCTTAAAATAGCTTTAAAATGCTGCAGACGAGGCTTGTTAAAGCATCATCCCATACGGTTATGCAATTCTGTCTTGCTCAGAAAGATGCTGAAAGTTGGCAAGTTGCTGTTGAAGGATAATTTTACAACAGACAAAATGACAGTAAGAACTGACACATTGCTGTCTGTGACATACGTTCTTTTGTGGTTGTAGAAAGTGCAAAATGAACAAGTGGCACATTTAAATATCTAAAATTAAATTTAATCTCTCTCTGCAAAAAATACTGTTCAGACAACAGCCTTTATGAAACAACAGAACATCTACAGGTATTTACTATTCCCTTTGTTCATTTATAGTATCTTACCTCGAACGCTGTGTAGGTCTTTGTCACAGCCATCTGGCTAAATCTCAGGCTCTTGAACGTATGTCTCGCACTGCTGCGGTGAAATGTGCCTGTACTTCCCTTTAGTGCAAGCTCTTCTAGATTTGCTTTGCTGGTTTTCTTCATTGGGGTTGGTAGAACATGCACGCCAAAACACAATGACAGCTTCACGCTCGGCTTTCTATAATTATCACGCAAGTCCAAGAAGCTGCACCTAATCGTATATTCAAGGCAATTATACTCACATTTATTCTGGTGTTTTGGTAACAACTACACACTTTTATAACACTTCTCTGAATACAACATCCAGGCATGCTGGTGGGACATTATTATGGACAACATTCACTGTGTGTTTCATTGTGATATTTATTTTATTTATTAGATATTTCAGTTGTGGTGGTAAGTTCTGTTTTTCTAATTTGTTGCTCGTTGGTTCTCCAGACAGGTTTTGTGGGAAAATGCCACTGAGGAGCAGAACAAAGCCCAGCAGGTATCAGAATGCCTTATTAACTGTAAATGCATGTATTAACCGGTATGGTGCCATCAAATAGCGGTTATTTAAAACCCTAGAACACTGACGTTAAAATCAGTAACACCATCGCTAACGTCGGGTGTATTTTACCCGATATAATATTCTGGATAAAATACAGTTTTCATCAAAGTACAACACTGTGTGACAAATTGTAGTACTCTTCTTTAATTTCCCAATATACAATATCACATAAAATAAAAAAAGGTACCATGGGGGACCCTATAAAAAGGCAGCAAAATTATTGAAAAATCAGGTAATCCTTAACGAGAAATCTCCAAACAAAACAAATAATGGAGCTGGGAACTTGTTCTTTGGTCCACCCATTCCTGGGACATGTGAGCCTTGTCTGGTGACGGCACAGTCCTCCTGCATCACTGACAGCTGTGGCAGAGATTGACAAGAAATGGTGTTTTTTGAGAGGGGCAAAATGACCACATTTTTTTTGACTATATGAATTTCCTTGGAAAGACTCCATACCAGAACCAAACTGTGCCTTCACCAGACAAGGCTCACATGTCCCAGTCCTACAGTTTGTCATACAGTGTTGTACTTTTACATAAATTCATGAAAACTATATTATATCAGGTAAAATATACCCGACGTTAGTGATGGTGTTGCTAATTTTAACGTTAGTGTGCACTTGTATTTCCTTCTCAGTCAGGTATTTCACTGATTTTTTTCCCTCTCTCTGAGTGCGACAACTCCAGAAAGAAATCTGCATAGCTAACGATTGCAGGTGTAAATTAACATTAGCTACATGTTACTCACTTGTTCGCATGCCAGAGTAACTAAGCCTGTGACAGGATGACGGCTGTGTGGAGAATGTGGCCGACCTGATTGTTTTTTCCCTTGAAAAGTGCAAAGAGCTCCTGATTTCAACACACAAACACTAACATCGGGTAAATGCCACCCATAAAATATGTTACCCTCTTTCACTAACGTCGGGTGAAAATCACCCGAACGCATGCCTCTTGAAAAAAACCATAGATGGGAGGTGGGAAACAAACATACCATTAATGACATTAATGTGCAGCCTGACCCATGCAACTCAGACGGCAGCAACACAATGAAAATCACATGACAAAAATCGTGTGGGTGAAAATCACCCGGCGTTAGTGTTCTAAAGCAGAAATACAATATATTAAAATATGATAATAACTATAGCGTACCTCGTCCATCTTGGAGTTGGGACTTGTGGGTTTTGCCAGGTAATTTTTTAATTCTTTCTAAAATCTCCTTTTCATAGCATCTCACCTCAGTTGAGTAGAAACAGAAATGTCAGACTTGCGCAGCTGCAAAACGTGGAAACAGACAGAAAGCAGATGGCAGGATGCCTCTCCACACAAGTGATCACAGTCAGAGTGGAAACTTCAAGTAATCAGAGGTTCAAAATGACTCGTTTGTTTGCCTGACGAGAGGTGCTGCTACTTCTGCACCCGATTCGTGTTGCAGAAGCAGAGGAGCGTTTTCTAGCGTCCCTCCCTTAAGCCTTAGAGGTCGGCCAGCACGCCACGTCCCATGACATTCTCAAGACGTCAGGACAGAAAAACTGTCACTCGAAGGTGCAGACTTTTAACTTTCTCCCAGTTTTTGTTTCATGTCGATAGATCGTGTAAAACTGGAGATATGATGTTGTGAACACGCGTGGAAAAACAAAAGCGTGCGTAAAATGTAAGCGCATGAAGTACGCACGTCGCATTTCTTCCAACATCTTCGGCATCTTTTGTCGTTTTACACGACCGAAAAAATAAAATAAAGTCAAAACGGCTGAATCTGCTGATTCTGCTCTTCAGGCTGAACATACCAAGGATTTGGAGCCAACTGCTCAGAAGAGGACGCCAAGTGCAGAAGATTGAAGGAGGGAGAAGGAGAGCCATGGAGCAGAGTTTGAGTATTTAGTTTCTGAGGCACTTTGAGCTTTTTTAAGAGGAGAGAGTCAGGGAGAGACAAAGACATAGATTCCGGTGGGTTTTGGTGTACACTAAGTACATGAGTGAGGCTGACTTCAGACCATAGACTGTATAAAAGATGGACGTAGCAACTGGCCCTGAAAAATGAAGTCAACCCGGAAGTGTCAAAAACCTGCAATATCACTACGTCCACTGGCTGCTGGCTCCAAAGCATAGACTGTATAAAAGATGGACGTAGCTACTGTGACGCCACCCGTTGGTTTCTGCACTGAGAAAATGAAGCCAGAGTTTTGGTTGACATCTTGGATTTGTGGAGCCAGTGACACAAAAATCGTCGGAGGGGGGCGGAGCCATAGGAGCAGCGATTGGTCAGACGGATTGAGAGGCGGGCCCTCTCTGCTTCAGACCAGCTGCTCCAGTAGAACTCCATCCATCGCAGCACCTTGTGGACATCACAAATACCTTCATCCTACACTGAGACATCAGCACCGCCAAGCAGGTGAAGCCCATGACCCAGAAGAACTTCCACATTGAACTGGTGGACCAGCACAGGTGTGCCCAGAACACACCTATGACCTCATTCCTGTTGCCATGCCAACAGATGCCAGCCAGAAAGCCACACAAGGATGCAAAACCTGCCAGTTCTGCATCAAGATGAACAAAAAAGAAAGTCTCTGGAAGATGTGGCTGTCTGAAGAGTGGCACAGATAAAAAGAGAAAGAAAAAAGAAAAGCCACATCTTCTTTGTAAATATTTGTATTTAATTTGATTTTATACACAACTTACCTTTTCATGTTCATATCTACAACTTATGTTTACATTTTCAACTTTCAAAATGCTTCATTAAACGTGTGTTTTTTATCGTAATAAATTATTTATTTTTTTCAAATTGGATTTTAGAGTTTTTGTGGCGTTTTTGAGCCCGAAATGTTAATATAATAGGTCAAAGTGGGAAAAAAATAATAGATCATAGAGGTGATGTTGTGCTGGGAAAAAAAGACACCAAACATGGGCACAGTGAACATGTTTCTATGTGGTGTACAAATACAAAACTGAAAGTATGCAAAAATGACCACAACAGGCTGAAACCTCTAAGGGTTAAGCTGCCACATGGTATTTTATGTGGACTTGCATACTGCCGAGGATACTGTGGGCCCACATACACAACAAACCTATTCTTTTTACAGTTAGCTCTCTAATCCAGGCTCTCATTTCAGCCCTTTTTACAGACTAACTTCCCTTTTTTTTGACCAAAACAACAACAAAACCACTAACTCTGCAAAATAAGGTGAATTAAAAAAGGTCACATTGGGGAATTTGAATTGGATTACAGCATTCCGATGCAAGTATTTCTTATAACCCATGGGAATATTTGTTGTTTTGGTCCAAATTAAAAGAAACAGTGGGGAAAATTACACACAAAATAGACAATATGTAGAACATGTGCCTTCATCCCCTATAATGAACCACTCATTGTGCTTGATCTCTGGGTTTTCATTGCACACATAGACGATTCCACCATGATTCAATGCAGGAAATGCCTAAAATAGCACATACAGATTCTCCAGAATGCAGGAAATGTAGTGTTCGATGCACCACATTTACTGTGAAATGACCCACAGATGTTGTAAAGAAATCTTCGCTAGTGGCTACAAACATGTCCAGCTGTGCTTTAGTAACAGATGTGCTCCCAAACACACTGCAGGAGTTGAGCAGCACAGTTCAGTGCAGGGCTGCAGGCCTCAGCCAGCACAGAGTCACAGCCGTGGATGCAGCTAATGGCACAATAACCTGAAGTAGCTCCTAAACTCCTGAGATGTTGGGTGACACTCAGCAGCTACAGTCAGACTCTGCTTTGACCTTATCTGAGGCTCTGCTCTGCACAACAGCCACAACACACGGACAATGGCGCTGCAGGAGACCAACAAAAGCTCCGAACGTGCAGCAGAGCCAGCATGTACAGTTCTAGAACCTGTTTAACCGCATTATCCTGACCGGACTCCTTAAAGGTAAATGCTTGATTTGAAATGAAATCAGCTGATTCGCTGATGGGGGGCGGGTTCAAATACGAGTGGAAGCCATCTTGGACGGCTGCTTGACAAGACTCTTTCGTAGTCAGCTAGAAATCGAATACACCTCACGGACACCGCATACGGAACCGGTTATTTCAGTTATCCAAGGTAAATGCGCACACGTCCGAACCGTCTCCGTTCGCGGGAGGCTCGCAGCCGCACGTTCAGTCGTGTCGCGGTGACTTTTCACAGCCGAGTTAAGCGCTCGTGTTATTTCGCCGTCGCGTTAGCCAGCTGGCGTTAGCTTGCTAGCAGACCTAGCGCGGCGATCTCCGTTCGTTAGCTAATACTAGTTGACGGCGGATGTAGCTGCGTCAGTTTCGCTTGTGGACTAACGCTGGAAATTGACAAATATTCGTTGCACTCAGGTTGCAACACAGAAGTGAGAGAGTTGCGACGTTTATCACCGAAACCGCTCACCGTTAGCGCTAAACTTTAGCTTCATGCGCTAGTTAGTCACGTCGGTGGCTAGCACAGAGGTAACTAGCCTCGTTCCCCTTCGAGGCTAGTTAGTTGGATTTAACGAGTACAAACTGCTCCTGCTTAATCATATATTCGGCTATTTATCCATTAGACAGTCTTGTCAGAGGCAAGTAGACAGTTAATTCGCCGACGTTATTGACTTAACACATATATCGACGCTGTTTTCTCATTGTTAGCTAAGCTACACAACATTAACAGTCACCGCTGTGTCGGCTAACTTTTGACGTTAGGCCAGTCACCTGCTGTTACCGCTGCTGACCAGCTAACGATTGACTTAACAGCCCTCACTGACCCCAAATACAGCACTTTGCTTTACCGTTATTAAAACTCTTGTCTTATTTTTCATCTGTTCTGCCATTTCTAACTCAGTGTCTCGTATGTTTCAGGGTTGGACAGACCTGAGAAAGGACACAGCGGCTCAGTTAAGCTAACAAGATGGCTAGCTGAACGGTCGGCCAAAACTTGAAAGCTCGCTAAACCCTCCTGGTGTATTGTTTTTTCAGATAACATTGGCAAATTAAACCTATGCTCAGCCCTAATTTAATTTCCATGCTTAGAAGTCTTATAAAAGTCGAAAAGAGATATTTGTTTCTTGACACTTGATGTCCCAATAACAATACTGTTGAAGAAGAAAATATAAAAAAAATATATACACATCTTGTTAATTATTGAGGTTTCAAGAGGCAAGGGCCCTCTAAAAAATACTGAGGTGGTCCCAGTAGAGTGGACTCACTTCATCTGGAGACTGTTAAAGGTTTCATTTGCTATTGGGACAGAGTAGTTAAGTAAAGATGAGCACCGCCAGGACGGAGAACCCAGTGATTTTGGGCTTGTCCAATCAGAACGGACAGCTCCGAGGCTCGGTGAAGCCTGCTGGAGCACCAGGTGGAGGTGGAGGAGGCCCTCAACAGCAGCAGTTCAACCAGATGAAAGGCACAATCAACAATGGTAATTCCCAGCCAGCCCCGACAACAAACGCTGTCATCAAGTAAGTTATCTCTTGCAGAAAATACAACATAATGCTCCTTTCTGCATGCTAACCGACTGTCAGTTGCTTATGCCGTTTTACTCACGAGAACTTTACCCTCCGCAGACCTGGAGATGACTGGAAGAAAAATTTGAAATTGCCCCCAAAAGACATGAGGATGAAAACTTCGGTTGGTACAAGATAGTTGTCTTCTCATTCATTTGAAAGTAAAAATTATGATTCCCTCCCCCTTAAAGAACAAAAAGTGCCATTGTTATGTCTCCTTATTATTTAAGGTCCAGTCTTTCTAAAGTATATTCAATAAACAATTCTTAACAATGTCAGTGTCGCCTCAACAAGTAGTGCTGGTCTGTCATCCAAACATTCTTTTGTTGTCACTTTAATAACATTTCACACAAGCCATCGATCTATTTATATCTCGTGCCCCACTTGCTGATTTATCTCACTATCGTTCTGTGGTGATTACAGGATGTGACCGCAACTAAAGGCAATGAGTTTGAAGATTATTGCCTAAAGAGGGAGCTGCTCATGGGAATCTTTGAGATGGGCTGGGAAAAGCCATCTCCAATCCAGGTATATTCAGACAGTTTGATCTCTTTTGACAGCTCGACAAGACGGCGTCTTAAGGAAGTGCATGTTCTGATAATTATAGAGTTGGGTCTAAGAGGGGAAAAATCCTTGTAGCTCTTTCAGTTGTTTGACTCATTAGTATAAACTCTTTAGATACCTTTCACTGAATCAAGCGCATATCAAATGCTGCTTTAAAGCTGTCAGCATATCAGTCGACTGCTATTTGATAAAGATTTTATCATAAAACAAGTGTGATTTCTGATTAAAATACAGTGTGCTGTGTTTTCATGCCATAGGATTTTATTTCTTTGTCTGTTTCCAGTATATAGCTCAAGTTTAGGGGTGAAAACTGGACAGAGTTAGAGTGGATTTGGTCAGTCTCGGGTGATACAGCAGATAAGATAGCGAGCCTTTGCACTTGAAGTAGAACT